CTTAGTTAGGGTTTGATTCAGCTGGAATCTTTGATACGCCTCCACAAACTGTATGTGCTGTAGGCAGATATCAGATGGTTTCTTTGACTAACTGGCTGCTATTATATCCCATTCACCAATTTAGGGAGGAGGCAATCTATCAACCTGGGAGATCATTTTGACAAGCCAGTTGCTGCAGCTTCACAACTAAACATTTGGTTGAGTACAGCTGAGAACTCAAATGCTGCTGTTTGTAAAGAAGCAGCAGCAAGCCCGGGCCATTCACGAGCAACCTGCTCTAATGCCATTAGTGACGCTAGTGAGTGGTGCCTTCTGTTCTCATGAGGATGTGTATGCCAGGGGGTGTCTCCACCCCTCCAAGAACACTTTCAGTATATAATATAGCTCACACCAGACAGGAAGGGGTTAATTAACAGACACAGGCTCAAATTGCCCTGCCCTGTAATACCTGTTGGTGGTAGGGGGGATTTAAAAGAGGGGAGTCAGGTAATGGCCCGATAGGGAGGGCATGTAGGTTGCTCCTATGTGGGGTAAGAAGCCTGTTTGGGGCTAGGAGCTGTCAGGACACTGCATTATGCCTGAACCCACTGGTAGAAGGGTGGGCCTGAACCATATTGTTGGTGTGATTGAAACCCAGGAACCTGATATTAGACCAAGACATTGCAGCTGGGGGCCTGCCTGCCAGGAAGGGGGCTGACAGCTGAGCTGGCTGGGCTGAGGATGGTTTTTGTTTGGTGTCTCTAGTAGATTTTGACTGAAGGACTCAATTACCCTGGAAGGGGTGGAGCTCTAAGTTGGAGGACTAAGGCACATCTATAGTGGACGTGATCTGAATAGCATGTGGGGAAACTGAGGCAAAGCTGCTGCATTATACCATGGGAAGGAGGTGCTGGCATGGCACCTCTGGTATAAGGACTCAGTTAACCAGTCAAGATGGAAGCAGTAAGAATTGCTGTTATGCTTCAAGATTAATTTTGTTGCAGAACAAAGATTCTTTCTTTGCTAGGAATAGAGATTATTTTAAAAGCTGGTGGAATTCTTTGTTCCTCTTACTTTACCAAGCATCAAGGCTAACAAATATTTCTCTTAGTTAAAAACATTCCTCAGTTAGATATGCAGGCACAGTAGTTCAGTTTTCTTCAAAACTGTGGGTTAACTGTAACACAACAAATCTTTATTGGGGGATGGGGGAGGGCTCTAAACTGGGTCAGGAATTCTACAATGTTGAAGAGAAAAGGACTTTTAGGGTGACTCATGGACAGAACATGTTAACGATGGGCTTCTGCTGTGAGTTGCCTTAGAACTTATTGTCACTTCTAATTAGTGGCTTGTGCAGTGATAATCCTAGTGGCTATGTTACAATATCTATTTACTGACACATTTTTGGTAAAGGATTGGAATTATACAGCTAATCCAGAGAGAAAGACCTTCTATAGCAATGTTTCATTTACATTTCATTAATTATTCCCACACTACCCATAGCTGGGCAGGGTGCTTTGCAGACTAATAAAAGACACAGATAGCCCTTGCCCCCCAGTTTTATTTTGCTGTCTTTATTGCATTCTGCAGAAGCCCTTGGTGGATACTAGACACATAAAGAAGGGTCAGACTAAGAGCTGTGGAGACAATGATGTCCCTCTAACCAGCTACAGGGAACGTTCGTGGGTAAGTTAATGTTGATCCAGTCAGCATTAACTTTACCCAGGTTTCCCATTCTGATTGCTGGACTCTTCCTTTAAGGAGGATTCCTAATCCAGCAGCTGGTGAAGGAACCTGGGGACATTCAGAGGGGGCAGCAATAGATAAGAGCAGGAGTGCCACCAGCTTTTCTGCCGCCCTAGGCAGCGGAAGGTCCCCCCCTGAAATGCTGCCCCCCACAAAGGCGGCGGAAGGTCCCGCCACCGAAATACCGCTGCGGTCGCTGCCCCCCAAATTGCAGTGCCCTAGGCGACTGCCTAGCAGGGCCGGCTCCAGGCACCAGCCCAGGAAGCAGGTGTTTGAGGTGGCCAAGGGGAAGGGGTGGCACATTGGGCTGTTCGGCGGCAATTTGGCGACGGGTACCTCTCAGAGGGAAGCACCTGCCACTGAATTCCCGCTGAAGAAGAAAGTGGCACGGTGGAGCTGCCACTGGAGTGCCACCGATAGCGGCTTTTTTTTTCTGCCGCTTGGGGCGGCAAAAACCCTGGAGCCAGTTCTGCCGCCTAGGTCGCCTAATGGGTTGCGCCGGCCCTGGATAAGAGCCAGTATGTAGGACAGGAACTTTGATCTGCTTCATTGGGGGGGGGGGGGGGGGCAGAGGGACAGACTCCTTTCTTCTTCTGAAAGGAGAAAACTCTGACCCTGAAGTATGTGCTAAGATTGCAGGACTGGGTCCTTGGTTGTATTTTGCTGATGGTCACATATCAACACGATGAGCCAAATTCTTCTCTTAGTTATATTGATTCAGCTCTGTTGAAGTCACTGGTGCAACCTGAGTGTAACTTGGAGAACAGTTTGGCCCAGCAAATCAAATCCCAAGAGATGATTTGTACTTGCCACTCCCCTTATCTCAGTGGGTACTGAGCAATTTAGGATTTGGTTCATTGGGTCTAATCCTGCATCCACTGAAGTCAATAGCAAAACTTTCATTGAATTTAGGGTGATCAGCACTGGGTCACTGTTTACAAATCTTATAAGAAGCTGCTGTTCTGTGGTTGGTTCAGGGATTCCTTCTCAACCCTGAGATTCCCTGATATGCTACAGATACTTGGGTTATGGGAGGATCCCTGCAGCACTCTGGTATGCACAGCCTGGCTACCCAGACCAGACATAGTGTTTGAGTCCAAATTAGTAAATGGCAACATTATCTCCGAAAGGCAGGTTTCATTAGCTACCAGGGAGCTCTCTTTTCTCAGAGTTGCTTTTAAATATTTAAAAACATAATTGCCCCTTATTATGGAATTTTCCTAATGTGAATGTTTAAATACTTACAGAGGGGGATATTCAGAACCTGTCATTGTTTCCACTCTCATTAGTGCTTACTTTGAAAGACATTTGATACTTTAAACACTGGAATCCTGTGTTGGTCTCCCCAGTTGTCCCAGTAATAATGCTGAAATGCTTGCAAGAGCATTTCCAAAGCTCAGGCTTAGATGTTCTCAATTTTCCTAATTATGGGCTAGCTCAGCCCCCTCAGTGGAGATCCCCAGGGGGTGAAAGAAAAACTCTGCCTGGTGAACCTTGACTTTCTTCCAAGCATGAACTTCAACTGGAAGTGGCAGTGAAGAATGAATGGGGAAAATCAGGATTGTTGACTTCAAAGAGGAGACAAGTAAGAGGGGATGTGATACAGGGATACGGTATGTGAATGGTACAGAGAAAGTAAATCAGGTACACCCATCCTCAGAATACCAAAAACAAGGGGACATTCAATGAAACTGAAAGGCTACAGGTTTAAAACTGAGAGACCTTAGCAGAATTCAAAGAATATTGAACATGTCTATTTAGATTGTAAACTCTTTAGGACCGGGACTGTCTTCTTCTGTGGTTGTACAGCACCTAGCCCAAAGGGGTCCTGGTTCGTGACTTGGGCTCTGTCGTGCTATTGCAATATAAACAAATCATAATAATTAATCTATGGATTACAAGGGTATCCACTCATGATAGTAAGAATTAAAAAATAGAAACACAGAACCAAGACTTTGGAAGGGATCTAAAACCTCATGCTTCAGGCCATAAGAACAGCTTCTAAGTAATGGAGTCCAGAAGAAACTTTCCCTGTGTGACGGTTATCCTACAACTATCCACTGCAGGATTTCTTGCACCATCTTCTGGCACTGTCTGAGATGGGACTCTAGTCTCATTCACCACAGCAAGTCATTAGGGCCGTAAGTGGAAAGAGCTTGAGTGAATTGTAATCTTTCTATTGGATTTTCTATAGGATTCTATGGGAATGATCTCATTCTCGGTTACATTTTATAGATTTTCACAGCCATTTCTGTAGACCCCTATTGATTTCATCCCCATAACATTTTATAGGAGTGAGGAGATACCACAGAAAACTTTACTCTAAGGTTTAGCAGCCTCTGATATGCAAATGGGAGAGAAAGGAGGAAGAGGAACAGTTCTTTTTCCAAGAAAGCAGAGGATCAAAACTCTTAAATGACTTTCTTTTTAAAATAAGACCCAGATTGGTCCTTTTCCGCTATAATGGATAGATATTTTCATCAGTTTGTGTGTGCACAGTGACATTGACATTCAGATAAGTCTAATATTTCCAAGCCTAGTTATTACGACACTAAACTAGGGGAACCCAACAGAGGAGAATGAGAGTTCTGACATAGCAGAGATCTACATGCAATGCTTAATTTGTGCCAGGGCTTGCCACGGCTTAGCCCTGGCACCTCTAGACTGGGCAGGTCATATCCCGGCTCCTCTGGGCTTGCCAGGTCAATTATGAAAGTAAAATAATCTGCTTGAGCCCTGGCACCTCTTTCATAACAAATTAAGCTCTGTCTACACTCCAGTGCCCAGACCCAGATGATGTCACAGAAACCTGAACTCGCCTCCACCTGGTGGGCAGAGTTTTCCCTTTGCGCCCCCCAGTACCCCGCCTGTATGGACGTGATTGCGGCGGGGGAAGAACAGAAATTTCCATCCTTGTGCAGAGAGGGGGAGGGAGGCAGACAGAAATAGGGTGACCAGCCAGCAAGTGTGGAAAATCAGGACAGGGGGTGGGGGGTAATAGGAGCCTATATAAGAAAAAGCCCCCACAATTGGGACTGTCCCTATAAAATCGGGCCACCTGGTCACCCTAGACAGAAACCTCCACCCACTTGTGGCGAGGCAGTGACTGATTCCCACCCCGCACCCCTCTCGCCCAGCCTACAGCAGCAGCTGGCGTTGACAGGAGCTCGGAGCGCGGGCGTGCTGGGGGGGCCGGGGCGTGTAGACGGGATTGGTTCTCACACGCTGGTTGGCGTGTGTGGCTGAGCCGCCGGGCTGGCTGATTGGGCCGGCTGCAGCCCGCCCTCTTTGCCCAGCCCGCCCGGAGCCGCTTTGTCCGGGTGACAGCGGCTCCCTAGAGCAGAGAGCGGAGCAGCAAGCGGCGGCTCGCCGGCTCAGTGGCTGCGGTGGTGCACAGGGGGTGGGGGCAGGAAAAACGAGCCCCAGCAGGTAAGTTCAGGCGCAGGCTGCCGCTTACTGACTTTCAGTCTGTCCGGTGCCCTTGCAGCGTGGGACCCCCCCGGGGGGGTAGCCAGTGCCTGGAATAACCCCCCTGGAAGGCTATTTCCTCCCCCCGCCCGTTATATAACATCCCCGAGGGATGCTGTCCCGGGGGGGCTAGGGAGGGACAGTTTCCTGCTCTTCCCTGGGGTGGGAGGAGAATGAAATCCCGTTTTGCCCCAGGCGGAGGCGGTGTCGCTGACGGGGGGGCAAGAAATGAATCGTGCCGGGCGCTTGGTGTTGCGGGTTGGGGGAAGATCAGTAATTTTCATGTCACTGCTCCGATGGGGGGCCCCCTCGGTGCCCACTGACACCAGCCCCTTGCAGGGGTGTTCTGAACCTCCACTGCTTAAAGGGGGCTGGAAAAAACCTGTATTTGTGTGTGAGTGTGTGTGTGTGGGGGGTTCCTATCATCATCTGGGAGCAGCGACTTCAGCAAGCCAGGAGGGAGCCCCTCGGGGACCCAGCTCAATTTTTTTTTCATTTTGTTTTGGCTGTGTCTGTGACACCCCCCTCCCTCTGCACACACATCAAGCACTGCAGACCTCCCAGGACAAAGCCACCCTATGCTGTCGAAAACGTTTTGGGGTAGATTGTGAGGTCTTTGGGGCAGGAACCAGGTATTTTAGGGGCTTGTGGAGTATTGAGTACAGCCTTGGTGTGTGGCAAATACGGGGAGGAGTGTTTGGATAATTCAAGGGGAGGGGGGCTTGCTGTGGAGTTTGGAGATAAGTTACTTATTTGGGGATTAAAGGGGGAATTGTCAAATGAGGGAGTGTCTCATGTTGGGGTGTAGGGATGTAAATAGGATTTGGATAAAAGACCAAATATGGGAGACGCTCAATGAGGTTCTGCTGTGCTGGATTAAACATTTCTGCTCACCTAAAAACCAATGGAAGTTAAGTGACAACAAACCTGTTCTGATGGCTTTGTGTTGCTTCAAAGTGTGGAAGTACAAAGAAACCTGCATCACAGGCCCCTCACAAAGGGACTCCCCTGTTTTAAGAGACCACTATAAAGACAGCCCTAGGATTCCACTACGGTTTTATCTGATCTCTAGTTAATGGCCATCTCTGCTCAGCAACCAATTTTCTTCTGGATCCATGAGTAGTTGTTTAAGAAAGGTTTCACTCCCCATCACCTTCTAAGTTTGTGTCCATAAACTCATGCATTTATTGTTTTTAGTAACTAGATTAAAAATAAAAGTGACAGATTCTATAATGTTTCTATGGATTTGTTAGCAGGGCTTATATTTCACATTTTAGATTTTCATAGTCTTCTATAGCTATATATAGAAACATAACTTGCTCCAGTTTTGTTTGTTCATAGAGGTTGCTCTGTGGAATAATTAAGCATTGTTCTTTTAAAATTATAGCATTAGTCCCAAGCAACTCCGTTGCTTCAGTAAACATACAAAACCAGTAAGAATAAACAGTATGCTTTCACAGTGAATCTGAGGTCTAAGACCATTGTGCTGATGGGAAATTGTCACAGAAACTACAAACTAACCTTCTGTTTTGCTCAGTGGATGGTTACTAAGTGGGAAAGATGTCCATATGTATTGTAAACTTGGCTTTGTGGTTTCTTCAGTGCAGTAAGAACTGAGGACAGGTGACCCCTCCCTTACCTCAGTTTGAGGAGGCTGGGGCCCATCTGACTAATGTATTTTATTCTGTCTTCTGCCAAACAATGTGCTTGGCTGGCTGGTTCTTGCTCATATGCTCCTGGTCTAACTAATTGCCATGTGTGGGGTCAGGAAGGAATTTTCTCCCAGGTCAGATTGTCAGTGACCTTTTTTTTTTTTTTGCCTTCTTCTGCAGTATGGAGTGCAGGTCACTCGCCAGGATTACTTGTGTATATCTCATGTAATCATTTCCCTGCTATTGCAGGGACATTGGTGTGCTCAGTACCTCCTATTCTCTGCCTATGGCACTCAATAGTCTAGTCTCCTGTGGGCTGTAATACCATGGCCTAATTTCGGTTGTTGGGTTTAGTGTATAGGTGCTAGGTAGTGATGATGGCTTGTGATATACGGGAATCAGAGTAGATGAGTACCTTCTGGTCCTAAAATATATGGCTCTAATGTGGGCTCTATTTGTATCCTGGGTTTTGGTTTGTCCCCATCTGTATTATGAACACTGATGGTAGCACTTTTAACACCGATATGATGGTGCCTGGTTTGTAAACTTCTTCTATGCACCAGCCATGACATCTATAAAGAAAGTTTCTCCAAACTCTTTATATTTCCAATGACTTCAGTTTTTAATTTCCAAATTGTAAGGAAAGTACGATAGAAACAAGACTGCCTGGATGGGTATCGTTCGATAAGATTGTCTTGAATTTCTTTTCTTAAAAATAAGATTTATTAGCTTTACCTTTTCACCATGTGTGCCCGTATCAATATTTTAAAAAAGCAGAGCAAAACTACAGTCCTGATCCCACAATGTGATGTGCAGACTGTGCACCCAAGCAGATCCCATTGGCTTAAAAGTTCTGTTCTATTGGTTGTCATGCCATGTCCATCACCATGGAGTCTGAATATCTTCTAGAGGTTCATTAAGCACGGTGGATATCATGTGTGGTTCTCTCTCTTTCTCTTTGTGGTGGCAGTTGGGAAGAAATGTGTGAGGACTGGAGCCACTCATAGGCCCCAATTCTGCAGTACAAAACTTATCGGTATTACTTTACAGGTGTCCTGCGTGAGGTCACTTGCACTCCAGTGCGAAGTGCCATATGGGCAGTGTCTTGTATGTGGGTGTTTTATTAAATGTAGCCAACGGAAAGAGAAGCGTAAGGGCTCATTGAAACTAATTAGAAGCCAGGTCTTAATGAAAAATTACTACAAATGAATAAAAGTGAATGGCCCCTCTGGATGTTAAAAACTCCCCAAAATTGTCCCAAAGGCTCAGCTAAACTTAACAGAGCCAGAATTTCCCTGGAAAAGATTAGGGGAAAAAGGGATTTGCATCACTTTAAAAAAAAAAGTACCCTCTGCCTTATCCTATAACTTCACCACTTTGTCAGAGGGAGAGAGAGGGGCGTTGCTTTCTCCTCTCCAAGGAATGATTTGAGTGCTCTCTACGTTTTAGACACTTTTATTGCCACTAGAGGGAGCCGTGATAAATCTGAGGGTGATACAGGCTATATTGCTTCATTGTCTGCAGCAGTCCATTCCTTTTGTCACTTGGCATCCAATTTGGCTGTCTCTGCTTAGGTAAAAGTTCCATTGGAATCAACAGAAGTGTTGCCATGGTAGGGATTATGGGATTGGGATTTTGGTATAATAAAGATATACAAAGGCAAGTTCTCCAGTGTTGGTCTAACTCTGCTCCTATTGCAGTCAATGGGAATTTGATTTAGGCCTGCGCTCACGTGTCTGGTAAAATTCCCATTGACTTTAATGAGAGCAGAGTTAGGCCAACGCTGAGTGCATTTGAAATTCCCAGAGAGATTGCTAATGTGTCTCTAGTGTCCTGGGACCAACCTGGCTACAGCACTGCAAACAACGCTTTGAAAATCTCACACACAGGGCCTGAAGACAAAACTGCCATTGACTTCAAGGGGAGCAGAAATGGGCCCCTTGCTCTTTGCTCATTCCTTTTAGATATAAGACTGCAACTTCTGGTTTATTTTTGGTTTGTTTTCCTATTTTTCTCATTTTCTGTGGAATTAGTTTTCCCAGAAGGTTTGCATCTATTTAGTATTATTTAGTCACTTGCAATTTTGGTTATATTTAAACCTTCTTTATTAGTAGCATTTTGTTCTGTTATTCTATTTTTAGTTATGTAGTTTGTCATGGCTGGCAGCATTAGTCCAAAAAAAAAAAATGCTTCCTAGCAGTTTCAAGAGATCCGTAGTTGTATCTTGAAGATGTACCCAAGGGACCTTTTAAAAACTCTTCTAAGATAAAAAAACAGTTTCTAAGGAAATACATTATTAGTTTCCATAAACATAGTGTAGAAATGGATATATAAATGGTGGTAATTGAGTCCCCAATTCAGCAAAACATATGCTTAAGTCCATCCCTATTCAGCAAAGCATATAAGCACGTGCTTAACTTTAAGCGTGTGCTTAACTGCTTTACTTCAGGGTCTAATTTCATAATAATATATTCTTAAATGTATTTTCAGTCTTTGACTAGCAAGTCATTCTCTGCTGTCCTGATGTCGGAATGCCCCTAGTGGCAATTCCAGTAGAATTAATCAACTGGTGTCTATTGGTTCCTGCTGGCCTCTACTGATTTTGCTGGAGAGCCATTAGTTCCAGGAACCAGTATACCTATCTAAATGCTTAAATAGATCTACAACCTAGTTGCCAGAAAGAATCAGCAGAGAATTTTCAACTAGAATTTCAATTAGGGCTCAGGAAAGTGAGGATTTTGGGTGATATAATCCATCTCGATGCTGAGGGCCTTCCAGGGCCGGATTAAGACCTTTAGAGGTCCTAAGCACTGAAAAGATTATGGTGCCCCCCCATATGTAATTCAAAATAAAAACAATACTATACCGTAAAATAAAATTTTATTTTTCAAAATGACACAAAACTTACATGTATGTTGAAATTAAAATAGCTTCTTTCTAGATTTTTCTGATTGCAAAATTCTGGATAAGTTCATAGAAGCTGACTTGATGAAGCATTTCCGCTTCCATGCGCAACAGGAAAAGTGAATCAAGTTTGTCCTGACACATTGTTGTTCTCTGAGGGCTTTTTATTATTTTCAGCTGAGAAAAAGAGCATTCTGTGGAGCAGTTAGTAATCATCAATGTTAGAAAAATACATAGTGCGATCTCTGCATTTGGAAATACACATTATATTCCGTCTTTCAATATTGTGCCATGAAGATCAATGTGACTGAATTTCATTTTTCCTGTTTCAATAAATTTTGCGCACATATAACAGTGGAACTGCCGTACTTCTCCAGAGAGATTCATGTTCAAGTCAACAGGGTA